AAGATGGAAAGAACCTAGATGCCCACCAACAGATGAATGGATAAACAAACTATGGTACCTACACACAATGGAGTATTACACAACGATAAAGAACAGTGATGAATCTGTGATGCATCTCATAACATGGATGAAACTGGAGGATATTATGCTGGGTGAAATAATCACAAAAGGACAAATATTGTATGAGACCAGTACTCTAAAAACTCATGAAAAGGTTTACACACAAAAAGAAACAATCTTTGTTGGTTACTGGGGGTGTGGGGCGGGGAGGGATGTGAGGGAATGCTAAATAGACAATAGATAAGTGGTAACTTTGGTGAAGGGTAAGACAGTACACAATACTCGGGAAGTCAGCACAACTTGTACAAGGAAAGGTCATGGAAGTTCCACAGACACATCCAAACTCCCCGAGGGACCGAATTGCTGGGCTGAGGGCTGTGGGGACAATGGTCTCGGGGAATATCTAGCTCAATTGGCATAACACAGTTGATAAAGAAAATGTTCTACATTCCACCTTGGTGAGTAGCGTTCGGTGTCTTAAAAGCCTGTGAGCAGTCATCCAAGATACTCCACTGGTCTCACCCCTTCGGGAGCAAGGGAGAATGAAGAAAACAAGATACAAGGAAAAGATTAGTCCAAAGGACTAATGGACCACGACTACCACGGCCTCCACCAGACTGAGTCCAGTACTACCAGATGGTGTCCGGCTACCACCACTGACTGCTCTGACAGGGATTACAACAGAGGGTCCTGGAGAGAGCTGGAGAAAAATGTAGAACAAAATTCTAACAAACAACAACAAAAAAGACCAGACTTACTGGCCTGACAGAGACTGGAGAAACCCTGAGAGTATGGGCCCCAGACACCCTTTTATCTCAATAATGAAGTCACTCCCAAGGTTCATCCTTCAGCCAAAGATTAGACAGCCCCATAAAACAAAACAAGACTAACGGGGCACAACAGTCCAGGGACAAGGACTAGAATGCAGGAGGGGACAGGAAAGCTGGTAATAGGCAAGAAGGGACAGCGTTGACATATCATGGGATTGTTAACCATTGTCATAAAACAATATGTGTACTGATTAATGAGAAAACTATTTGTTCTGTAAACCTTCATCTAAAATACAATTAAAAAAAAAGAAAAGAGAGGGGAGGCAATTATCAATGAAGTAACTGTATTTCCTAGAACTGAAGAACATAGTTTCGATTGAAAGAGTGTCTAGCATATAGGATACCATCGCAAAAGCACATCATCATGGACCACTGGGGAAAAATAAGGTTCTATGAACTTCAAGAAAGAAAAAGAAACTGGTCATATATAAATGGCTCCTAGAAGACAATAGAGTATGCCTTTGAAACTCTGAAAGAAAATTATATCCAACTACATATGCTGTTAAACTTTCAATGGTGGAAGAGTAGAATAAAAGTATTTTCAGACATTTACAATCTCAAAAATTTTATCTCCTACATATGTTCATTAGGAATGTACTTAAGGATGCATAACACCAAAAAAATAGAAATCAAAAAAGGGAATTTACAGGGTACAAAAAACAGGAAATCCCACAGAAGAGGAAAAGAGAATCACAATGGTAATATGCACTGAGTAGAGGGCAACCAGTCCAGATGGGAGCAAGAACAAGGGCTCTATAGCTATACTGACCTTCCCCTCAAATTGAAAAGGTGCGTGGCAGGGTTGTATCCTTTCACCTCACTTACTCATCTGTATGCTGAACAAATAATCCAAGATGCTGGACTATATAAAAGAATGCAGCATCAGGATTGGAGGAGGACTTACTAACAACCCATGATATGCAGATGACACAACCTTGCTTGCTGATAATGGAGACACTTACTGATAAAGGTAGAAGTGATAAATGAATCACTTACTGATAAACGTAAAAGAGTACAACCTTCAGTAAGGATTACGCCTGAACATAAACAAAATGAAAATCCTGCCAACTGGATGCATAAGCAACAGCATGATAAATGGAAAAAATACTGAAGTTGTCAAGGATTTCATTCTACTTGGATCAATAATCAACATCCATGGATGCAGCAGTTGGGAAATCAATGACATACTGCATTGGGCAAATCTGTGGCAAAAGATCTCTTTAAAATCTTAAAAAGATGTCACTTTGATGACCAATTTGTGAGACAGCAAGTAGATGTGTGTCTAGAATCAGAACATATAGGTCTATGTGTTAGTATTCCAAGTATAATGCCCACTCTGTCTACTCTAGCACAGCCTCTGTAATTACAATGCTTGGGATAGGCACTGGACAATTTAGAATTTATGGCTATATAGTATAAGCATACCATTAATGGGAAAACTGTGAAAAAATAAAGACGACCAAACAGTACTGCTATCTTTTTTTTTTATTTTTAAGGAAGTTTTTATTTTATTAAGTTGTTTTATTAAAATTAATTTACATGCAGAAAAATACATTTTATGCTTACAGTTCTACATTTTTGTCTAATATATTTAACCATGTAAACAATACTCAAACCAATAAACATATTTTGTTCAGTCTATTAAGTTTACTTGGGCTACTTTCCAGTCACCACCAGCAAAGACAACTATTATATATTAATACAATATCATTATATACTAATTTTTTCCAACATTATATATTAATTTTTTCTGGTTTATAACATCTTTTTAAGGAAGATTATTTTAAAACAAACACATTACTAATCAAGTCATAGGTCTATTCCAAGATTTCTTTAAATCAAAATCTTCTGTAACATTCCACTCAGAAGGCAGAAAATCAAAAAGGTTTTCCCTAAGGAAAGGTGCAAATGGAATGCAATACTGCCTTACTGCACTGTAGAGAATACAAACTGTGGAAATAAGGCAATCATTTCTTTTCTAGATCACTTTTGCTGAAGAACTGCTCACTTAATATCCTAGGCACTATCTTGTTAAGATTTGCACCATGATCTAGGAGGACCTAACCTTCACCAATTAGTGTAATGAATGTGAAGCCTCCTACATCCATGCAGTAAGATTGCTAAAAGGACAACTTCTCAGCAACACAAATGAATCTATTACAGAAATCAGGCAAATAATCAGTTTTATGTCAGAATCCTCCAACTGAACAATTTTTAAATACCTAAAATATAATTGAGGTCATGTCGGCACCATACCTCGAACTAAACACAAACGTACCCATTCACAAATTTTCAGCTTCACAGCAGCAGCACCCTGGGATAGTCAAGAGCATCATCACATCTTTTAATATCAAGAGTGAGAAAAAGTCCAACAGGGCATTCATACAGTGGCAGAGAATCCTGTTCTTGGTAGTAGACAGGAAACGACTGGTTAAAAAAAATTAAGTTCACTGACAGGCATAATCTAGAACTTGGTTCTGTGTATCAATCTTGAAAGTCATACCTATTACATATCCCAACGTACAGTCTAGTATTTTACATTAGTAGTTTCTTACATGAAAAGTTAAAAAAAAAATCATGCATTATTTTTGTTCTTGATTAACCGTTTTACTCCAAGCTCCGTTGGTCAAATAACGTGACTGTCCATCCTAATGGTCTGGAGAGGAATGTTTTCTGGTCGCAAGATGTTCTGCCATTAAGCTGATAGTGAAATACAGAAATTTGTGAACAAAGATATATTTCTGAAAATGTGAAAAACAGAAGAGGTAAGTCAGACAGTAACTCAAAGAAGAGTCACTTGAGTATTAAAATGGTACCCTAGAAATGGCTCATAGCAAAAGCAAATCAATTAGTTTTCATCGTATGAGTGAGGACGCACCAAGGCAATTCCCCTCTTATGGATCCACAGAATAAAATTACTTCTGGTGCCATGTGGCTAGCAAGATAGTCTATTCCCCTCAACCCCACTGTGTACCTAGGAAAAGAAAGTAAAAATACTTTCAAAAGAGGTAAAGACTACCAGGAAGCTACAAGCTCACCCTAGAAAGATGCCAAAATGTCATGGAAAAGGAGCACATGTTGATTTTAATAGCTTTTTTTACTGGAAGATTCATGTCATATATACCAAAAAACAAACAAACAAACAAAAAAACAACCAAACCCATTGCCATTGAGTTGATTCCAACTCATAGTTACCCTATAGGACAGAGTAGAACTGCACTATAGGGTTCCCAAAGAGTGCCTGGTATATTCAACTGCCGACCTTTTGGTTAGCAGACATAGCTCTTAACCACTGCCCCACCAGGTCTCCCGTCCTACATATACCACAGAAAAACAGGAGACAAAAAAAATCATGGAAAAAAATTTAATTCCTAAGAGAAGTATACATTTAAAGTAGATAAAAATATGGTTTATACATTTTTTTAAGGAAATATAATTTAACTATAAAATGCCTAGATTTACATGTGACCTAGTACTTATTTCATATTAACCAGATCCATTTACTCTAATAAATTTCTACTATATATATATGTCTTCGTGTATCTAAGTATTTTTAAATGAAAGTGAAGAAAACAGAAGTCCTCACAACTGGCCCATAAACATCATGATGAATGGTGAAGAAACTGAAGTCGTCAAGGATTTCATTCTACTTGGATCAAATATCAATGCCCATGGAAGCAGCAGTGGAGAAATCAAAGATGTATTGCACTGGGCAAATCTGTGGCAAAAGACCTCTTTAAAATCTTAAAAAGCAAAGATATCACTTTGATAAGTAAGATGCATCTCACCCAAGACATGGTTTTTCAATCGCCTCATATGCATGTGAAAGCTGGAAAATGAAAATGGAAGTCCAAAGAAGAAATGATTCATTCAAACTGTGATGTTGGTGAAGAATACTGAATATACCATGGACTGCCAGAACATCGAACAAATCAGTCTTGAAGGAAGTATAGCCAGAATGCTCCTAAGAAATGAGGATGGCAAGACTTTGTCTCACATACTTTGGACACATCATCAGGAGGGGGCAATCACTGGAGAAGGACATCATGTTTGGTAAAGGGTCAGTGAAAAAGAGGGAGATCTTCAATGAGATGGACTGACACAGTGGCTACAACAATGGGTTTAAAAATATCAATGATTGTGAGAACGGCACAGGACCAGGCAACATTTCCTTCTGTTACTCGTAAGGTCAGTATGAGTCAGAGCCAACTCAACAGCACCTAACAACTTTGAAGCCAGAACATAAAATCTATGTCTGCACATCCATACGCAAGCTATCCTGCTTGGTATCTTCATGGAGATAAAATGCTAAAAGATGAATAAAACAGAAAATCTCAAGTCACAAACTAACAAAAGTATTTTCTCAAGTTTTCTGGACTAGTGTATACTAATAAAAGTAACCTGTATTAATGCAATCTGGATTTTCAGATAGAAAAACAAGTCAATGGTTGGCTGTCAAAACTTAAAAACAATAGGGTTGGGAGGACCCTCACAATAATGGCTATTAAATCATAATTTTAGAAAAGTAAAATTATTTGTAGAATTGGGCAATAGCATATAGAATGTCTTAACTTTTCTTAGTTTAAACTCTCTAATTTGACTCAAAAATTCTTAATCATGCCCTTTTAGTACTTTAGTCTGACATATTGACTTTGCAGTCTATACTCTGTAAGACAGCAGGTAAGTCTAGCACAGAAGAAATTGTATAATGGGGCACAGGGGATGACTTCTGTGGCACTATTCTGTTTTTATTTATCCAGACTGTTGCTTTCAGTCCTGCGTTGAGGCCTCCTTGTATATCTGTTTCTAGTGTATCACCAACCATTACACAGTCCCCACACTGTACTCCGAGGAGATCACAGCAGTAGTAAAATATGGAAGGTGATGGTTTCTCCTCTGTCTGCTCTCCACCTACAACAATGGCATCAAAAAAGGACTGACAGGCACAAGCCTCAATCTTCTCTCTCTGGGTCTGTCTGTCTCCATTAGTTAACAGAAGTAGGTGGACCTCCTTTCGAAGTTTAGTAAGCATGGCTTTGACATCATCTGCCAGTGTCATATGCTGTAAACGTGTAGATTTCCATAGAAAATAACATTCTTCAGCCAATTTCCTATTGGCTGCACCACGCTTGGTTTCCTGGATAGCTTCTTCCCAATATGAAGTCCTTAGATCAGTAATGCATGTATTGGAAGGATAAAAACATTCCTTGCTGAGTTTAACTTCAACTTTATCACAGATGATTTTAGCCTCTTCTTTGTAATGATATTTTGATTGTAAGAGCTTTATCACCTAAACAAAGTAAAATAACTCCATTAACACATTTCATGTCTTTAATAGTCATGCCCTAAGAAGCTGTGATCCTAGAGCAGGTGTTTAAGAGACTCTATGTCTCAAAAGCAGCTCTATGACCACACCATTTCTGGTGGGAACTGGACTTACTTTTAAAGAACACCAAAGTGAAGATCCCACAACCTCTCTAGACAACTCATTTTTTTTTTTTTTTTTTACCATTTCTAGTCCGTGAAGATTCTTCATATATAGCTAATAAAAACCCTTAATTCGGCAGTTTAAATCCACTGTCCTTCATTCTGGTCATGAAGACATGAAAACAAAACTTGTGTTTGTATTTTGTAAAACATTTTAAATTTCAGACCTTACTTACACTCTTCCCAGAAAAAATAATGCTAATTCGTCTAACCTTTTCTCAACTACATCCACTTCACATTTGAAGGCCTAAACTGACCATCATGTAGAATGGAACCCAATTCTGTACTTTTATAAATGTGTCTCTACAGCTCTAATGAAATCAAGCATGTATTGTGTTTTCAGAGGTTTAATGACCTAGTGCTTCTTCCAAACCTAGTTTTTCAGATAAAAAAAATCAAGGTGTTCTGAGTTACCTTCTTTGTCACGTTTGTTCAGAATCCCTCATAAGAATCAAGCAATCTCTCTCCCGTGTTCCCACAGCTCTTTATCTTGGCTTTTATTACATTAGGTTCTTACTCATCTGACCTGTCTTCTAACATTCAGTAAGGACCCTAATGTGAAAAGCATTATACCAAATGCTCATATATGCTATCTGTAACCTTTTTCTACAACTCTGCAAGGGAGTTTCTTGCAGAGATGAGAAAACAGAAGTTCAGAATTGTTAACTTGCCCAAAGTCAAATAATAAAAACTGCAAGAACTAGGACTTTAATCCACACTGGCCTACTTCCAAACCCACACGCCTGCCTTTACACCGATGTATTAGCTGCTAGATATTCGTTCCCTTGTCCTAGGGGCATTACCCAGTGGGGAAAACCACCACCACAAAATGCTGGGTAAAGTGCAATGACAGTCATGTCAACATGAACAGTGGAAACAAAATGGAAGGAATACATAATTCTGCAGGGTAGTTAGGTAAGGTCTCACAGAGCAACTAACACTTAAACCAAGGAGTTACCAAACAGACAAGTTGGTTGGTGGGGATGGGAGGGAGGATATACTCACTCAAACCAAAATTAAAACCCACTGCAGTTGAGCTGATTCTGTTAGCAACCCTGTAGGACAGCAGAACTGCCCCATAGGGTTTCCAAGGCTGTAAATCTTTGCAGAAGTAGACTGCCACATCTTTCTCCCACGGAGCAAGTGGTGAGTTCAAACCGCTGATCTTTTGGTTACCAGCCATAATCACTCCAGACAGAAGAAACAGCATGAACAAAAAGGCACAGATCTTGGGATTTTGTGAACTGGGAGAGGCAAGAAGCTGAGTTTAGCTAGAATGGAAGGCATGTGAGGGAAGATGCTATGAGGTAAGGCTGAAGAGGCTGTTTGGAAACAGTTTGCAAAAGGCCTTGCACCACATGATGCAGGTGATGCTGCCCAAATCCTGGTGGCACTTACCATTCCCATACATGCCACTGGCTTCACACTGTAAGTATTTGTGCCCCTCTGCCTAAGGGCCTTTTTTGGCCACAGGGGCACCCATGCACACAGACTGGGGCCAAGCGTCGCGGATCACGTTTTGTGTGGCCTTTCTCGCCATGGTCTTGTAATTCCCACCCAGGTGATTGGGCAGAACTGATAGGGTAACTGTGGCCCACCAATGGGATTGGTCAGTTTTGCCATCCCGCTGGGTTTGAGATGAGCCACCCTAGAGGCAGAAAGAAGAAGATTCCACCACCAGCAAGGAAGAACAGCCAGGAGCCAGCACGTCCTTTGGGCCCAGGATCCTTGCACTGAGAAGTTCCTGGAAGCAAGAGACTGAGAGAGAGAGCAAGACAGCTGAACCCTGAAGAGGTGAGAAGCAGTGGCAGGAAAGACCCGGCAGCGGAAATCCAGCAGCAGGAGACGGCACAGTGGGCTTCAGAGAGAAAGCTGAGTGCCTTTGGGGAGAGGACTAGGGCCAAGGAGAAGCGTGCCTGTGAGCACAGTTGGGAAAAGGCTGTCCTGATGGAAGAATTGTATCCTGAGTGTTCCTGAGCCTAAACTGTACTGTTACTTCCATAATAAACCCCATAATCGTAAGTATGATTATGTGTGGCCACTGCAATGAATTATCGAACCCAGCAGAGAACTGGAGAGTGCCGTGGGAGGGACGGTTAGTGCTAGAGTTGGTAAAGATGGCAGAGAGAGAAGGCATGTCTGATCTCCGCCTCATAGAAATCAGCCTTAGGCTGTTAATCTTGATTCTCCTTCCCCCTTGTGAAGTTAGAGGAGGTCAGACACTGCTCCTGTGCTGTTTTTATATCCTGGGAGCAGCCTTCAACCAATAAGGGACAGAAATGAGTGGATTAAGTATCTTAGCTTTCTTGCCCCTTAGGTGGGATAACTGAAGCATATTCTGCATACTGTCTCCCAGAGTTCCTCAACTGTCCACACCAGTAACCTGCTCATTAACTCACCCTACATTGGAATCCTTCCCTTCTCTGTCTCATTTCCCCACTTCCCTGCAGTGCTTCCTGGAATCACCTCCCAAATGAACTACCTGCATCTGAAGTCCTTGTCTTAGGGTGTGCATGTGGGGGAACTCAATCATGTCAAGGCAATTTCAGATCTTTGGGAATACACGTATCTGGGCCTCAGCAAGGTCTGCTGTTGAAGCAAAGCAGTCAAACAAGTTAAAATGTGCTGCCCTAAACTATATAGGGAATAAGTGGTATGCTATGCCCACCAGAAACTTAATTCAGCTACTGGAAAGGAAGATCACATTCTTTTTCCCTCAGAGGGAATCTCTTAGAATCACTTACTCCAAATAAAAGGGAATATTTTTCAGGCTATTTGTGCTAATCAGGAAATAAGAGTTAAAAATAGTAAAAAAACAAAAATTTTTTTAAGGCTAATCAGCCCAGAAAAGTACGTTAGCCCTAAGAATTCTAGGTGAGGATAAACACTGTAAACTTTTGTTTTATAAAGTTACATTTCAATTAGTAAATCAAGTTATTTCAACCTCTGTGGTTATGTCACCATCTTTTCAAGCAACATCGAATTACTCTCGAGCTACAAGAAAGGCATCCCAAAGTTTTAGCAGACCCAGTGCTACACAGTAAAAGGACACATGCCCCTAGGACTCCACAGTGGGAGCTGGTTCATGGCTAATGAACAAAGAACACCCAATAAAGAGCCAATTTCCTGTTATTGCAATTAGCAATACATTAAGCACATTCTTGGCGCTCTGAGAAAATCTGTGTATTCAAAGATGAAGGCAGGGAGAAATTGAAAAAGCAGGACTAGCTTACCATAAAGAGAGATTCTTGTAAAGGGGTGGCATACCATCCCCAAGTTTTGAAATTTTTTCCCATCCACCCGTAAATTAACTTTCCCATTACAATTAATTACAGATTCATCTGGGTTAACAAGTAGCATTTTAACAATATTAACATCTTTGGTGAAAAGTCTATTAGTTGTTCACAAAATAATATTTGCTCCAACAGAAATAACATCTAAGTTTAGTTAGTTCACATTATTATTAGTACAAACTCTACAAACCCTGCAAAGAAAATGGGAGTTTTGATTGATTTGGGGATGTAGGAACAAGATCTCAAACTTGGTGGTGTCATGACATTTTGTGCCTGGGGTAAGGCAGGCTTGCAAAGGATTCAGAGTAGAATGAGTCTACCAGGCAACTACAGGCATGAAGAAAGGGGCCCTAAGATAGTGAGAAATGGGGGATCAATTTGCAGATGTAATATAAATTCAAACTTCACCCACTTCAAACTCTCAGGTTATACCTGAACACATAACAAAAACGGAACTCTACTCTTCTACCTTCTACTCCCTGAACCCAGAACTACAGTTAATACTATCAAAAAAGTGTAGTGAATTGTGATTTAAAAAAAACTTTGACGGCTTCATTGGGAATCACATAATACTTTGTAAGACTGTGATTTAGTAAAATATTTTCTGAATACCAATTATTTGGTGAAACAGCTGAATTCCAAACAAAACTATTTCAAAAACACATGCTCTTCACCAAAAAGCATATTCAAATGGCCAACCAGCACATGAAAAAATGCCCAACATTATTAGCCATTAAACAGATGCAAATTAAAACCACAATGAGATATCACCTCACCCCATTAGAATGGCAATGATCAAAAAAATGGAAAACAACAGGTGTCAGGAAGGTTGTGGAGAAACCAGAATCCTCATCCATTGCTGGTGGAAATGTAAAATGGTGCAGCCACTGAGGAAAAGTTTGGTGGCTTGAACACAGAACTACCATACGACCCTGCAATCCCAATTCCAGGTATAAACCCAGAAGAAGTGAAGGCAGGAATGCAAAAAGAAACCTCTACACCAATGTTCATTGCTACACTTTTCACAATAGCCAAAAGGTGGAAACAACTGAAATGTCTATCAACAGATGAATGCATAAACAAAATGTGGTATAGACATACAACGGCCTATTATACAGTCATAAAGAGAAATGAAGTTCTGATGGGTGCCACAACACGAACCTTGAAAACATTATGTGAGCAAGTAAGTCAGTTGCAAAGGGACACTGGATGATCTCATTTACATGAAATAAGCAAATATACAAAAACCAAAGATTATTAATAGTTACTAGGGGTAGGAAGGAGGGGGAAAGGGGGAATTTCTGTTTGGGTGGCACTGAGTTTATGTTAATGGTGGTAGAATATTTTGGAAAAGGATAGTGATAACGGTGGCATAACATGAAAAATTTAATCAATGTCAATGAATTGTAAATGTGGAAGTTGTTGTATTGGTAAATGTTTTGGTGTATATATTTTCACCACAATAAAAAATAAAAATACATGCTCACATAATAGGATTGTCTGCATGCAGCCTAACAATTCCAGCAGCTCTCCTGTTATTTTTAGCTCAAGTCTTTGGTCAAATATCACCTCCTCAATGAGGCCTAACCTGACTAACCTAATTAAAATTGCAGTTCATTGCCCCCCTTCACTTTTTCTAGCACATCTATAAATACATTTGATTTATCACATTCACTGTCATCCCCACTAGTAAGTAAACTCAAAAAATGCAGAATTCTTTTCGGCTTTGTTCACTGAGAAACTCTAAGTTCTGTAGAAGGGTTCTTCTTCAGTTGTTGTTAGGTACCGAATCAACTCATAGCAACCCCATGAGACAGAGAACTGCCCCATAGGGTTTTCTTGGCTGTAATCTTTATGGAAGCAGACCACCAGGTCTTTCCGCCGCAGAGCTGCAAGTAGTGAACTGAAAGACAGGCCTGAAGACGGTGAAAAGAAACAACTTTCCCAGGTGATTAAAAAAAAAACACCACCAACACTGATCTATATAGTCAGTCTATAACCCCTTCTCTCTAAGCCCAAGGCAGTGGCTGAACCTTTCCCTTCTTTCATTCTCCCTTCGGAATGATTTTAAAAAGCTAGAATGTTGCTTTTGAATAGGCCGAATGTTATTAGTGTTGTTATATTCTTATGTGATAAAGTATTCCTTGTATAGTCAAAAATACACAGTACGATCCTACTGGTTTCATGGCTATTTATAAAAGAGGCAATAGCAGAAACAACATTACACCAGAAATCTGGAAACCAGAATTTCTATCCATCTAGCCAGCATTCATTGCACATTTACTATGTGTTAAACTAAAAGTTTGTGCCCTCTCAAGAAGCTTACCATTCAGTTGCAATCATCTGAGTTGCAAACATTAATTGTAATACCATTTGACAAGTGCATTAAGAGATCTGAACAAAATATAATACTGATACAAGTGAGGGTGTAAAGACCAGGAAGAAATACAACCTGATCTGTGTTTTAGAAACATCACTGTGGCAGGGATGTGGAAGATGAATTGAAGTGGTAAGCCTAGAGATAAGAAACCCACGCAAAAGTCCGGGTATGAGGCCAGGTTTTACTAAGACAAGGGCAGTGGGACTTGCAAGGAAGGGACCAATATGAATGATGTGTCAAGAAGTAGAACGGACTGGGTGACAGGGTGCATGGTGGCACAATTCACTGAGCAACAATGGGTGCTACGTTCTTTCCATGCATTCTACTAAACCTACCTGATAGGGTCATTGAGGACTAATGTCATTATTCAAGTTTTCCAATCAGAATTTGAGGCTTAGAGTGGTTAAGTAACTTGTTCAGGTGGTTTCAGCTAGGTTAGGAGAGCTTTGGTTCAAACTCAAACCTATCTGATTTTCAAATGTGAACTCTTGGGCTACAGCATAAAGAAAACAAGAATTTAACTGTAACACATTGGACTTGACCTGCTCAGGACACACAGGTAAATACGTATTGCAGCCAGCTAGAGATTATTGGCAGCAGTGTAGCATAGAGCAGTGCCACTGCAGTCAAGACAGTCAGTTGTGTCCAATGCCCTAGTAAAGGCATTAAGACAGACCTAAAGTATCCACTGATTTCAGCACTTTAGGAAGTTCCTAATGACCTCCTAAGTCCACTTCACTTGAGTGGCAAAGGCAGACAAAATCTACACTGCAATGGATTTAGGAATAAATAGGAGGTAGATACATGGCATATAGTATAGATTTCTCCTGGAAAACAGCTGTCAAGGGAGACAGGTAACATCTAGCGGAGGAAGAAAGGTCCAAAGGACACTTTCTTCTTTATGTTTTAAAGTAGGAGACAGACCTGAAGATGCAATTTGAGGGGAACGTACCAAGAAAGAAAGGCTGAAGAGGTTGAAGATCCAGGCAGACAAAAACTAACTGACGGGACACTTGGGAGTTCTTAGAATTAGCTTTTGAAAGTTTTCTCCTTGACGCTGAAGTTAGAGGAAGAAAAGCAAGCGTGGGTCAGGAGTTTGAGGAGCCCTGAGTAGCGCAGACTTTTTTTGCTTTAAGTGTCATCCAAGAAATCCACTGAGGGTCACACCCACAGTAGGGAGGCCCCGAGGGTGGTTTCTGCGGAGAAAATTCTCTGGTTGATTCTGAAGCTAGCCACCGATAGTTGTGTAAATTCTTAGGTCAAAAAATGGGGCTGCCTTATCTGAGTCTCCTCAAAGATCCACCGAACACCACGCGGTGGGGAGACGACCCTACCACGAGGTCAGTCACGGAGAGCTTGACGCGAGCACTCGCCCTGACTGGCCCAAACCTGTCCTGGTCAAGAGCCTGGCTGGCGTGTATCGCAGTGTGGTGTGACCATCTTACCGCCATGGGCAACTCTGCCAACGTGGTAATTTTTAATGACATCTTTCCGGGTCCCAGGGCGCTGGAACAAACTTTTAGAAATCAGCCTCCCAGATTCTAGGCGCAGCCAGGCAAATAACCCATGCCACCGGGGTTGGAGGGCGGCCTCCGCACGCTGGTTACCTACTCGCCCCTCTTTCGTGCTTCTCTGGCCCGGGGGCAGGCGTAGGCGCCCACAGCCTCCAGCGGCCTCAAAGGAGGAGAGAGATCAGAGCCTCTGGGGCCGCTCCGGACGACTGGGCCGGCGCAGTGTTAAGTTGGCGATGGTCCGCGGTGTGGAGCCCCCGGGTCGGGAGCGGGCGGAGGGGACAAAAGCATGGGACGCGCGCGGGACGGAAGTGGGGTGCGTCCACCGGCCCCGAGGTACGCCGCGAAGGCCAGGACGTTACCTCCAACATGCCGCTCCTACTTGCCGCGGCAGTGTCGATGAGCGTGTTGTCCAGGTCAAAGAACACTGCCCGCACCTGGCTCAACCCCATCCCGCTGGCCGCTGCCCAGTGCGCCAACCCGCCGCTGACGCCTCCGGGGGAAGAGCCCCGAGGGGCGGAAAGGCGCGGGCGGGGCGGAAGTACCTAACTCTTCCGCCTAGCCCTCACTGGAACTCCCGCGAGATGTCTCGCTCACAGCAGCGAGATCCTGCGAGACTTTGGGCAATAGTCTATAAGGTGGGCGTCTGGTGCCCTCTTCAGTGGTTTCTTGAGCGGTTTGTTTGGCAGGTGATCTGAAGCTCCATTTTTCTCCTGGGTATCTTCGTTCTAAGGAGCCCTGGTGGCGCAGTGGTTAAGCGCTTGGCTGCTGACTGAAAGCTCAGCGGTTTGAACTCACTAGCCGCTGGGCGTGGGAGAAGGATGTGGCCGTCAGCTTCCGTGAAGATTTACAGCCTTGCAAACCCCGTAGGGGGAGTTCTACTCTGGCCTACATAGGGTCACTATGAGTCAGAATTAACTTGCTGCAGATTTATTTTTATCCTTGTTCTGCTTATCTCTTTTCTTGCTCTGCCCTTCTACTTGGAGACACATAGCTGCCTGGGGCGATTTTCTGCGCTGTGTGGCTTTCCAGTCCTGAGGCGGGTAGTTATCACTGCGGAGCGGCCCTCATAAGATTTTATCGCCCTGTGAGTCAGAATCGACTCTACAGCAACGGGTCTGGTTTTTTTTGTTTGGTCTGACAGAGACTGGAGGAAGCCCCTAGATTACGGCCCTAAGACACTTTTCTGACCTGGAAATGAAGCCATTCCGGGAGACCACCTCCCAGCCAAACGATAGACAAGCACATAAGATAAATAATAACACCGGAGAGGAATGTACTCTTTAGAACAATCAGTTATAAGATGAGAAGGCAAGAAGGGGTAGATAATCAGGGGGAAAGAAAATGAGGAAACCAGGGTGGAAATGGGGAGAGTGCTGAAACATTGTAGGGAATGAAACCAAGGTCATGAAACACTTTATGTACAAACTATTGAATGGGAAACTAATTCACTCTGTAAACTTTTACCTAAAGTACAATAAAATGAAATTTAAAAAATTTTGTCTCCCTTGAGCTCCCCTCTTAAGAAATAGCTTGGCCAAGTAATGGAAAAATAAGTACATACAGCCAAAGAACATTTGAAATATGGTTAATCACATATTTTAAGATGCAAATCCGTATAGCATAGACAATCCTGCAACAATAGAATCAATAAACAATAACCTACTAATTGATACATGGATAGATAGATAGATATGCCAAGAGGTGAGGGAGGGGGTAAAGGAATACACCCCCCAGCAGATACAGGTTCTGAGGTGGAAATTTCTAAACACATGACTGTAGGTGCTTCTCATATATTAATATAGACAACAGAGCACACAAGTGACACAGTTGGGGGAACCTCTTAGACATAACAAAACACCTCATAGGATGAAGTTCCCAGGCTCAGAAACAAAGTACTATAGACTCGTGGACATCTATGTCAATTGGTACAACATAGTTCTTAAAGACTATTTTCTACATCCTACTTTGGTGAGTAGCATCTGGGGTCTTAAAAGCTTGTGAACGGCCATCTGAGATAAACAACTATTGGTCTTTGCTAGTCTGGAGCAAAGAAGAGGGAAAAATACTAAAGACCCAAGGGAGCAATTAGTCCAAAGGAGTAATGGACCACATGAACCACAGCCTAGACAACCCTGAGACCTGAAGAACTAGATGGTGCCTAGCTACTACTAGCAACTGCTCTGACTGGGATTATAATAGAAGGTACTGGATAGAGCAGGAGAAAAATGTAGAACAAATTATCAAATTTACAAAAAAGACCAGACTTACTGGTCTAACAGGGACTGGAGGAACTCCTGAGACTAGGGCCCCAGGACACCCTTCTAAATCAGACTTGAAGCCGCTCCGGAAGTTAAGCTTTCAGACAAAGATTAGGCAGACCTGTAAGACAAACAATAACACACGTGAGGAATGTGCTTCTTAGATCAATCAAATATACGAGATCAAACGGGCAACACTTGCCCAGGAACAAAGACAAGGAGGTGGGAGGGGACAGGAAAGCTGGAAGAATGGATACAGTGAACCCGGGGTGGAAAGGGAAAGGGGGAGAGTGTTGACACAATGTAGGATTGCAGTCAATGCCATGAAATAATTTGTGTATAAATTTTTGAATGAGAAAATAACTTGCTCTGTAAACTTTCACCTAAATCACAATTAAAAAAAAAAGAAATACAAATCCAAACTATAATTATATACCACCGTTTTCACATAGGGGATAAATAAGCAAAAGTTAAATGTTTGATGGAGCTGGTGAAGATGTAGAAAAACAGGTATGTATACACTGGTTGAGGGGATGTAAATTGGTGCAACCTCCTTTGAGAATAATTTGGCAATGTCTGCCCTTTGACATTCCCACTGCTAGGAATTTATACTTGTATACACTTTTAAAACTTTTCCAGGATGTAGATATAAGGGTGTTCATTGCAGAACGTAAAGGCAAAAAGGGTGGAAGAAACTCTTAGGGACTGTTATAAGTTGAATTGTCCCCCCAAAATATGTGTTGTAAATCTTAACCCATATGCCTGTGGGTATAATCCCATTTGGGAATAGTTTGTTATGTTAATGAGGCTGTATCAGTGTAGATGTGTCTTAAGCTAATCATTTTTGAGATACAAAATGAGGAAATCAGGCACAGAAGTAAGCAAGTACAGATGGGGGAAAACATGCCACGCCACATGAAGATTGACAAGGAACTGAGGAACAGAAGCTGAAAAGAGACAAGGACCTTTTCTCAGAGTCCAGAGAGAGAGAATGCCTTCTGTAGAGCCTGAGCCCTGAATTTGGACTTATAGCCTGCTAAACAGTAAGAAAATAAACTTCTATTTGTTAAAGCCACCCGTTTGTGGTATTTCTGTTATAGTAGCACTAAAAAAACTAAGACAGGGACTATAGGAAACATAAAATGAAATTTATACATACTCATAAGATGGAATAGTATGTAGACATAAAAATATAAATAATGGCATTTCTTCTGTATGCTGGAGATCACTGCATTCACAGTGATTCATAGAAACTGATTTACAGAAAGTTCTCCTGGATCAGTGTTTCCCCAGAAATAGGATGAAAAGGACTTCCTCACTGTTATGGATTTTATTTTGTCCTCTCAAAATATGTGTTGGAATGTTAACCCCCAATACCTGTAGATATAATCCTGTTTGGAAATAGGGTTTTCTTTGTTATATTAATGAGATCATAGGAGATTAGGGTCGATTCTAATCACGTCTGAGTCATGAAAAGAGCAGGTTAGAAATGGAGACACAAACACACAGATGGGAAGACAAGTCATGGAAGGATCATCTACAAGCCCAGGAACCAAGGAAAGCCAGGGACTGCCAACAAGGAAGGAATCTACATGGCCAAGACACTGATTTGGACTTTTAGCCTCCAGAACTATGAGAAAATAAATTTCTGTACTTTAAAGCTACATATTGGTGGTATTTGTGTTACACCAGCACTAGATAACTAAGACACTTAACCTCTCATTTTCCTCCGCATTCAAGAATGACTGCAAGGAAATTTATATGGAGTCACCACTCCTCGTTTTCTTTTTTTGTTGTTGTAAAAATATATACAACAAAACATTCATCAGAACAGCAACTTCCATATTTACAATTCAATGACATTGATTACATTTATCATGTTGTGCTACCATTATTGCTATCCTTTTCCAAAATATCCCATCACCATTAACATAAACTCAATGCCCCCCAAAAACAAAAACTCCTCCTTTCTCCCCCACTCCTACCCCTGGTAGCTATTAATCTTATTTCATATAAGTGGGATCATACAGTATTTGTCCTTTTTTGAGTGACTTATTTTGCTCAGTATGATGTTTTCAAAGTTCACACATGTTGTGGCATGCATCAGAACTTCGTTTCTCTTTGGCTGTGTAATAGTCCATTCTATGTATTGCTAAAAAATAAAATCATATATTAACACAAAAGAATAACACAATATTTGATTACTCTGTGACATAATAAACAATTTGCAAACAGGGGCAACAGCTCTCCTCCTGCAAGAGGAGCTCACTTCTGGAGAATTCACGGAGACTTAAGTACTTTTTGCTTAGAATACAGGTTTCCATGATGATGATGTACTTGATGGCTACTGAGTTAGTATTAAAAAGGTAACATCCCAAACATTTGGCCCCCCACCCACCTACAGTCCTGAGTCCACTTGAAATTTAAATTAAAGAAACCTCGCGTCTTTTTCATTAAATTTTAAGTTAATGGGTTCCCACTTCTCCTGCTCTTTGAACAGGAAAGAAATGTAAACTAGCAACTTTGAGTGGGGAGTGGGGAAAAACCCTCTGGCAGGATTAATTCTGAGTCAGGAATATTTTGGTTGATGGAAAAGAAAAAGCTTCTTGAAATAAAAGTAAACTATTTTTAATTAAAAAATTTGATTCCAAAATCCCTCCCCTTCTGATCGTGATTTGATTAGAAACTTTGATCGTCTAACTGTTGGCGGGAAATCACCTAGATTTGTTTCTTCAGGTCTCAGTAATTATAGGTACCACCTTATGAGGTACTTTTTTGTGAAATACACGTTACTTCTGTTGGAAACTGTCAGAAATCTAAATACTTGGAGAAACACCAAAATTTAGTGTAACGGGATGTATTTATTTTGAGTAGATACGATTTGAATTGGGCAGCATCACCTAAACATGTCGGGAAGGTGCTCTGAAGAGAGGACAGTGAAGGTAGGTTATGTAGGTCATTGTTACGTTAGTTTCTCAGAAGGTAACATCAAAGTACAGGGCAGATTACATAAACAGTCACCAAGGATATGCCATACA